TGCGGACCGCATCGTTTCGTAGCCACACATGTGAACAAGTTGTCAGATCTTTTGGTGTAACACTTGTTAGTTTGTGCGCGTGTGGCAGTAAAATGCAGTTCACGCATGGATGAACGTAAGCGATGAACAAAATTTGAGGGATCTAGAGCGTTAACGTCGATTGGTTGTACGAGGTCAGCCGGGAGCTTTAGCGTGGTACCGTATACCAGCTCCGCGGCAGAGCAACCCAAATCAGCTTTAAACGTCGTTCGTAGACCTAATAGAACCAGCGGCAAGTTTTCTGCCCAACGGGTAGTGTCAGAACATGCCATCAAAGATGTTTTGAGGTGGCGGTGAAAACGTTCTACTAACCCGTTCTCTGTTGGATGGTACGCCGTTGTTCTTATTCGCTTAGCTCTGAGGATATTGGTAAGATCTCGAAAGAGGGTTGATTCAAATTGCGCACCGCGATCCGTTGTTATGGTGGATGGGACACCATAATGTGCGGTCCAATGAGCCACAAAGTTACGTGCTACCGTCTCTGCGGAAATGTCCGCGATGGGAACTGCCACGGGCCAACGAGTGTAACGATCGATGCAAGTAAGTAGGTACTTAAATCCACTCGACGGCGGCAGCGGACCGACGGTGTCGATGTGCACTTGACTAAAACGAGCATCGGGAACGGTGAACTCGCCAAGAGGTGCCTGTGTATGGCGGTGCACTTTTGAACGTTGACATGGGAGATAATTCCTCACCATGGTCTGCACGTCTTTGTTCAGTGCCGGCCACACAAAACAGTCGGAAATGAGTTTGCGCGTTGCACGGATGCCTGGGTGTGATAGACCATGTAGTGAATCAAAAATGATTCGCCGATAAGTCGGTGGAACTACAGGTTGTGGCTTTCCTTTAGAAACGTCACACATCAGAACATCAGAACTATCAGGCAGCTGGATGGGTTTCACCTGTAGATTGGTTTCGCGCAGTTGTTGAAGAAACTGCTTATCTTGATGCTGTGTTGTGGCTAGTTCTTGAAGATCAATGGGGGAATGCTCAAGGAGGGTATTGATTTTCGCCCGTGATGGGGCATCTGCTACGGTGTTGTTCACACCGGACAAATGCCGAATGTCGGAGGTAAATTGGGAGATATAATCTAGTTGTCTAGTTTCTCGTGGGGGAAGTCGATCAGAAGCAGAACGCAGTACATACGTTAGCGGCTTGTGATCGGTGAATATCGTGAATGTACGCCCTACCAAATAATGTCGGAAATGACGCACATTGAGAGCTAGGAGTTCTCTGCTGAACGTACTATAACGTCGTTCGGCAGGCTGCAGTTTTTTAGAGAAAAAGGCAATTGGATACAATTCACCTCCCTGTCGCTGTTGGAGCACACCACCTACTGCTGCATCTGAAGCATCCACCGTTAACTGTAACGGAGCCTTAGGATCAAGATGCACGAGGAGAGTGACAGTTGCCAACTGATGTTTTAGATCACTGAATGCCCGCTTAGCTGATTCCGTGAAGCTGAATGATTTGGCATCTAATTTGAGTAGCTCGGTAAGTGGCTGGGCTAACTCAGAACAGTGTGGGATGAAACGTCTGTAGTAGTTAACCATGCCTACAAACCGACGTAACTTTTTGATGGAATCTGGGATAGGGTATTCAGTGATGGTTGTCACTCTGTCGGGTAGGAGTGTAATTCCGGCGGAGGAAACACGGTGACCAAGAAAGTCTACCGTATCAACACCAAACGGACTCTTGGAGGCATTGATAACCACCCCATAATGCGCAAATCGCTCGAACAGTTGTCGCAGATGACGCAAGTGTTCGTCATGATTATAACTTGCAATCAAGACATCGTCAATGTAGACGAAAACAAAATCGAGCTCACGAATAACCTGATCCATAAAACGCTGAAATGTTTGAGCTGCATTGCGGGGACCAAATGGCATTCGCAAGAACTCAAATAAGCCAAGAGGTGTGGTAACAGCAGTCTTATGAACATCTCTAGGATGGACAGGAATTTGGTAATATGCTCGTGCTAAATCTATCTTACTGAATACGTGTTTTCCGTATAGTGAGGAAGAGAAATCCTGGAGATGCGGAATGGGATACCTGTCTGGGACGGTGATAGCGTTTAGTCCCCGATAATCCCCACAAGGTCTCCAATCCCCAGGCTGGTTTTTCGGGACCATATGTAGGGGCGATGCCCATGTACTGCTGGATGGACGTATTATGCCCAATTGTAACATATGGTCGAATTCAGCCTTCGCTACGGAAAGTTTATCGGGCGCTAAACGCCGCGGACAATGATAGACTGGACTACCTGTTGTCGTTATCCTATGTACGATCTCATGTTTGACATCACCGGGTTGGTATCCAGGCTTTGTTAAGCTGTTAAACTCTCGTAACAAATCCAAGTATTTTGGAGTGGCTCGTGGTGGGGCAAGCTGCGGACTCATAGACATAATGGACCCTTTAAAACCAGTCCGAGATATTTGCGTTAGGCCGTCAATGATTTGGCAGCGCTTGGGATCGACAATAATGCCATGATGCTGGAAGAAATCGAGGCTTAGTATGTCAGTGGGCACTTTGGCTACAATGAAAATCCAAGGAAAAGGCCTACGGAGACCAAGGTTCAGCTTGATAGACCGTTCTCTGTAGGTTCGGATAGGTGTGCCGTTTACTGCCTGCAGGCTGTATACAGAGCAGTGCCTTAAGTCCTCCGGACGTGGAGGAACCACACTGACTTGGGCACCAGTGTCTACGAGGAATCGCATACCAGATCTTACGTCCCGCAGATAAAAGAGGCGACCTGACTCGCATATGCCAGCTTGCGTCGTCGCCATTACGAGCTGGCGTGTTCACTTCCCGAAATGGAAAATCGACACGGCTTTATGCATTTCTGAGCTTTGTTACGGAACCTACGGTGATACCAACAAATGCCAAGGGTGAGGTTGTCCACGAGCTTCGCCTCTTAAAGCGCTACAAAGCTTCTGACCCAGATGAACTCTCCGGTTTTTTTCAAAGATGGCGGCCCTTCACTTGTTCAGAAGTTACCTTCTGTTCTCCATGAGATCTGGATCACTGAAGTTATTCTATCTAATTGGAGCCTAGTGGATATCGTGCCCGTCTTCAAAAAGGTACCCGAACTGACTGCGTTAACCACAGAGGGATTAGTCTCATCTGTGTTGCTTCCAAGATTCCCACAGCTCTGCTTCTAAGGATGCTAGGCCTGGTACGCGAACAGAGCATACTTGTAGAGCAAGTTGAGTTCCGCTCAGGTCGGAGTTGCATCGATCACATCTTTACACTCCGCCAAATACTCGAGCGTCGTCAAGCATTTGACCGGCCAATGATCGTTGTCTTCTTAGACATATGAGCCGCGTTTGACTTAGTTGACGGAGCTACTCTCTGGAGTTGTCTACTGAGAATGGGAGTGCCCGAGAAGTATGTCACCTTACTTCAAGCCATCTACTCTCAAACCTCTGGCCGAGTGGGAGTGTACTGCGGACTTTCGCCCCCCTTTGGTATCACCAGTAGCGTGAGACAGGGTTGCCCAGCACCCCCTTCTTGTTCAATTTCGCTACAGACGAAATCTTGGAGAGTGATCTGGAGAACTACGAACCCAGGGGCCTTGAACTGCTTCCGAGGGACCGACTTCGGGATTTGGAGTATGCAGACGACATCACCGTAATCTGCGCCTCCGCACGGGCTGCCCATAATGTCCTGCAAGGTTTTCCTACGGGACTGGCTCGACATTGCTACTGACCTTACCCTTCTACCTCATTCATTGGGAGTTGTGGACAAGTTCGTTTACCTCGCATGCTGCCTCAGCGCTAATGGTTTAACGGATGTTGTCTCTTTGTACGACTACATGGCTCAGGTTGCTTTTGCTAATCTCCGCCATCTTTGGCGTCGAGGTGATCTGAGTCTAGCTCTGAAGGGCCGAGTTTACAATGCCACAGTGTGAGCAGTTCTCCTCCATGGCTGCGAGATTTGATCTGTTCGCGATAAGGATGTTGTGAGGCTGTCTGTTTTTGATCACTGCTCCCTCTTGAGCATTACTACTGTACGATGGCTACATCACACTAAGAATGACGATATTCACCGAAGTAATCTCAGATCAGACATTCTTTATGGCCACTGAGCAGTATAATTTCTCTGCGCAGACTTCAGTGGCTTGGAAATGTTTTCCGCATGCCTACTCACAACTTGCCTCGCCGTGCTCTCTTCGCGCACGCAGAAGTCTGTTGGAAGCGAAGGCAAGGTGACCAACATATGACTTGGACCAGTAGCATGAAGGAGCTAACATCGAAGTTAGTCGTGGTCGGGTGCCCTCGGCTCCCTGGCCGGAGTGTGAAGGATCCGAATCACACATGGTTAGAAACCTTCTCAGATATGACAGTAAATCGTGCACAATGGTGGACTTGTTGTGTCTCACTATTCCCATGAATATCGGTTTTTTCCCTCTACCTTGGTATGTTTATTGCGGCACTATGCTCGTGTTGAACATATGAATATATATATATTAGCCCACTCCCACCCCCAAAATACCCTATGAAAAAAATTGTTTATTGTTGTTTATTCACGATCTTTACATCATCATTACTTGCGCTCACTTGAGTGTGTTCAAGCAAAACCTGCCCTACCATTGTTCACTTGTGATAACCGTAATGTATAAGCGCTTTTGATTCACTACCCCGAGTAGCACTTCAACTCCCCGTTCGGAATATCGTCCGTCACTTGTGGGTAGTGCTAAGGGGAGACAGGGGGCAGAGGTGTGCAGTGAATTCCTGTGTAGATTTTGCATGCGACTTTCTTACTTGTAAGCTCTTTATTAGCCTGCTCCCACCACCGAAATAAAAAAATTATGTAACGGTTATCGGCTTATATTCGTTACTATGCGGTAGTCACATCTTGGAGTCCCTACAGGGCATCGTTATTGTGCGAAACCGTAACGATCGCTTTCTGTGCGTTCCACCTTATTTAAAGCTCTGTCTTCGCTTCATATTCTATTATAGCGATGGGCTCCAACGCGGCTTGTTAGACCTCGGGGATTTTTGTCCTATCACGGCAGACCGCAACCTGCTTTGGTTCTTTCCGAAGTAAAGAAACCATCCGAAGGCAGCTCAAAGCCCACTTTCAGTAGGTTTTTCTTTGAATCTTGACCTCATTCCTCTTTCAGAACGGATCGGTTTCGAATTTACTATCGGCCGTGGAAAGATTCCGTCGGACTCTTCTGGAGGGTGGAATCTCGGACCATGGCTGCTCCTTGGCTGCGCCTCGCTTGTCGCTTATTTTGTCTATCATATCCTAAAGTACAAAAAAATTACATGGAAAGAATTTGTGGAGAATTTCTTGCAGAAGTGGGTGGAACCTTAATCACATTTGTTTGGTGTTCTCTCACTTCCCTTGATGTTTTATTACTTCACATGATATTTCAATTGAATGTGGTGTAGTTTCACTACATTATTTTTTCTGATCGCTTTCAGCACCGATTTGTAACCTGTTAGCCTTCAAGACAACTTTTCATTGTCTTTGGTCCGCCATCGTTATTCGGATGATCTTGACTCCTGTATGGCACACACACTTCTGCTTGTAAGCGGTTGTTTTGCTAAACGGATCTGATGAGGGATCAAGAGCCGGAAATCGAACGAATCGCCACCTAAGCAAACCGATCAGTCCTACACGCACCAGACGGACTGCACAACCTTGGCGCCACCTTTTATGAATCGAGCGTGGATTGAACTGCATACCGCAGTTAAGTAACACTTACGAACCAGTTAAATTGAGTAGGTGACATAGAGCACACCAGTGAGAATTTAAATCGGAGCGTCATTAGTGCACAGGTACACCGTACTGACACTGCGCTGCCACGCGAGCAGCACCAATCATGTGCACACTGAGTATGCCGCAGCAATCAGTTTGTGAAAAGCTCCAGCAGTGGAACAACGTTTCAAATTTATTTGCAATATCGACCTCTTTGTAGACTACCAGATAACCTTGACCACCAATTCTTGGCCCTCCGCTTGCTCGTTCGATAGAACTGTTTGACCGCCTTCAGAAATGTGCCACCAGAGTCAGCTCGATTCTATGCGCCACTCTCTATCGGCAACTCAAACAAAGTTTGCGTAATGACCGCGATGTTGTTGAGTTTCTTCCTGGCAATCGCGTGACCGATTATGCTGATGCCATCACTCTGCTCGATGACGATTTACAGAGTGTGCAGTTCTTTTTATACCATGTGCCAATGGCTCGGCACACTTGGCGCAAAACCGGAATCATTTTGGAAGCACTGTATATTGAAACGTTTTGAACCATGTTATTAGAGCCATATCATACAAAGAAACAAAAATCAAACAAAATGATATGTAAAAAAAATACAAAAACCTGAACTATTTATTCGTTGTTTCTGACATTTGTACTTTTTTGTTCTGTTCCTCGTGGTTTTCCGATGGTTCCATGTCTATTTGTAGACTGAAATATAAATAAATGTTCTATTCCCGGCAGTGTGGGACACGCCTGCGAAGGCATGATTCTGATAATACAAACATTTATGGTTCGTAATTGTACAAACATATAGGGTTAAGCGGTAACATACTGGATTTGTGTATGTGTTATAGTGGGCATGGTGATTGAACTTGTGAAGTGTGGCTGAATTCGTTTGTTTGCTGTGTTCACCATCGTATGAAGGGATCAAAGGTACGTTTTGTATTTGATGACCTTCGTGAAATGCGGATCCTCCAGAAGGGGAATAGGCAGTGACTTTATTTAGTGGCAAGTCACATCCGCCACGCCGCGGTGTTGTTAACCGGACCGTTGTGTTTTTTGTAGGGTGGACGCTTGTTAGGCGAAAACCCATAATGTGCTGAAACACTGCCGCCGAACTATTCCATGGAACGGGATTAAGCCGAATCACCCAGCTGGCACCACGTGGAGGTTGTTCGGTTAGCCAGCCCTTCCACTGACGCAGGTACAGATGCCAAATAACTTAATTTCTCGATGACTTCAAGCTTGTGCCCACCAAGGATCAGTGCGGGAAGCAGTCCCTGCCAATCTTGCAGAAGGACTTTACACTTCAAGGGTGCAAAAATAGGCCGAAACGAATGACAGCCAATGTTAATTTGTCCAAAGCTACTTACACTTTTCAAGGCTCTTACAGATGAGCCCAATGTCGTCGGCATACTCCGAGTCAAAAAGTCATTCAACAGGAGGAGGAAACGCTGTTTCCATAACTTAGTCAATGGCGAAGGTCAAAAGGAAAGGCGACAGTGCGTAATCTTGTCTCACATCACTTAAGATATTGAAGGGCGGCAAAAGTTTGCCATAAACCCTCATCCTGTCTAAGCTATTCGCGTACAGCGCTCGTATGACACTTACATATTTCTCGGGCACACCTTTCCTGAGTAAACAGTCCCAAAGAGCACATCGATCCTCCGAATTGAAAGTACCTTTGATGTCGAAGAACAAGACAACGGTAGGTCACCAACAAACATGGCGATGTTCCAACATCCTACATAATGTGAAGATGTGGTCAAGGCATCCGCGACTTCGACGAAACGCGGTTTGCTCCTCGTGAATCTGGCTTTTACGTGTGCCAGCAAGTCTATGAAGAACGATAGGCGAGCATGTTTGAGGCAACTGAGATCAGACTGATCCCTCTATTGTCGCATTAAGAACGTGAGTCCCCTTGAATATTTGGACTATTACCAAGCGGGTCTTTTGTGCTGTTTTCTGCCCCCACAGCTTCACAAGCAACTTGTGCAGTTCATCTACATGAGCAGGTCCCCAGCAGTTAAAGTGAGCTGGAAGAATTCCATTCTTTCCTGGATGTTCATCCACCCCGGGTGACTGTCGCATATGGGGCGTCACAGGGTAACCTCTGAACCCGAATCTTGCAGACAGATTTTTGATAAACTGCAGATGTCGATCGATCGGGCATGCAGTGTTCGCGCACGTGCTTCCTGTTAACCAATCTGCAGCGAAATGCGCACATTGGGAACCTAGGGTTTCAGACAAAAACAAATAAATAGACGTCCATTTGGCTGGATATGGACTTATTGACCCTGTGATTGTGTGTGAGTTCAAACTAGAAGACAAACAGCGCCACAAATTTTATTATTATTATTAGTAGTAGTAGTAGTAGTAATAGTAGCAGTAGGCATATAGAAGCGGTTAATCTCAATTGCCTGGATTTTTCACTGCCCTTCATCATATATTGTGGCTCTCGTGAAAGTCAGCTGCGCGATGAACAAGCCGGATTTCGTCGAAATCCGGTCTGCGTTGACCACGTCTTCACTTCACGTCAGTTGTGTGATTACCCCCATATTTATTTCGACTCATTTTCTTCGTGTTCCTAGACATCAAATGTGACTTCGACTGGGTTAATCGATGTGTTCTTTAGGATTGTCTGTTACTATTGGTATGCCTTAGAAATATGTAAATATCCGAGCGCTTTGCCCGTGTTGCTAGGGCAGCGTGAGAGCTTACGGCAAGCTGTCGTCGCCCTTCAATATCTCCATCAGTGAGACAAGATTTTCCGCTGTCATATGTTCTCTTTAGCTTCACTATTGCTGTAGTCATGGAAACGATGTACATTGCGTAGAGCTGTTTCCAGATGATCGACTTCTTGCATATCTTGACGACATTGTTCTACTCTGCGATGGCTCTCGAGCGTGCCAAGCTGAACTGGACAGATTGACACTGGCTCTTAATATTTTTTGCTATGGTTTGCGCCTTCGAAATGCGAGATCAATCAAAATTTTGCAGGGACCCCCCTGCGCGGACACTTAGTAGAGATCAGCTAGAAGTTTTTCAGAAATTTAAGTATCTGAGCATCTGTGTGCCCGTGGGATCCAGTATGATATCACGAACGGTAAAGCAAAAGCTCGGTGCACTCGGCTTGACATTCCTCTCACCCTGAAGTACAGAGGTTATAATGCAGTCATCCGTTCGACAATCCCGTACGATTACTAGACCTGGCGCATTAAGTGGATAGACATCAGAAGACTAGCTATCTTCGACCGTCGCTGCCTTCGCAGCTTGCCTTATGTCTGGTGGGAACACCGCGTGAGCAATGAGCGTGTTCGGCGTCTTGTTTTTAGTGCAGAATGAGCGAGTGAACTGCTCCGCACCGTTATATCCCGCATTTGGCTCTGATAGCCGAGCGACCTGTTGCACTTGCCAGCACACTGACTCCCGCGTCGTGCGTTGTTTGCGCGACCCAGGTCTGGATGAAAGAGAAGAGGTGGTCAAGCAATGACTTTGTCAAATGGAGTGAAAGCCCACGCTTCGAAGTTGACTTCGGTTGGTCTCTTCCGACCGCCTTGATGTGGTCCGAAGGACGATGAACACGTTTGACTGGATACACTTGTTGACATGGCTAGGAGCTGACCTCAATGGCGTTTCTGTTGTGGTTTTCTTTGTCCCTCTCCCTCCCGCTTATTTCCCCCCTATAACCACGCTCTCGCACGTGCTGCCTAATCTGACACCGAGCATGCTATTTCGTGTTCGATTTTATCTTGTGTTCTGTGCTGTTTTGTGTCTCATTCTTTTACCATTTATCTTTTTTCATTGCGGCACATTACCTAAAGTGTTCAGTTGTTGTGAAGTTCTCCGAGATGGGCATCTTGGTTGCAGACGTTTCGCCACCATTCGAGGTGGCATCTTCAGTGCGGGATTGATAGCAGCTAAGTAGCAGTAGCTGATGGAAAGCAAACCCAATAATGGATAGGTTTACTTTCTATCAGCTACTGCTACTTAACTGCTACCAATCCCGCACTGAAGATGCCACCTCGAATGGTGGTGAAACGTCTGCAACCAAGTTGCCCAGCTCGGAGAACTCCACAACAACTGAGCAAGCCTCCCGAGCTACCAATATTCCAAATCATTTCGAACACCTGAAGTGTGTTTACTACCTTTAGCCAACATTGTTGATTATGATGATTTATCTTTTTTAATGCCTACACGTTCCGTTTGATTTAGTCATTATTCTTGATTCACAGTGATAATAATGATCTATTCTCGAATTTCAAAGCACGACTGTAGAGGCGCGTGATCAAAGAATTACACGCACTCTTATCAGGCCAGTTGATGCTATATAATCTTAACACTACTATTTCACCTAGTATGCTAACCGTAGAGTTGCCCAACTCATATTTTGCTTTTCAATTTCTAAACTTTGCATTATTCTCTTACCTCGCAGGGGCGTGGTTCACCACTTGGAGGTGGTGAATAAATCTTGGGTTCAAGTCCACCTTCTTCCTGGCAGTGAGCACGCTGTTTCTGACCCAAGCTCCGATGGCTACATCGGAAGTGGTTTGAAATCAAGTCACCCGAATGCTATCTATTGGTTTGAAATCGGTGCCGTGGATACGTTTGAGCGCAGTCTACGTGAGCTCGAGGGACATTTAGGCATAGACCCTATGAATCGGATGCACATTACTTATACGACGCGGATCCAGCCGTGAGTATCTTTTGGATGAGTGCTATTTTAATGTATTCGTGGACATTTCTTCATTGAACTGTATACGTTTGCTTGTTCTTGTGGATATAACTTCTCTCAAACCGTCAGTCTCTTAGGCTGGATGAAACATGGTTGTGTTCTACTGGTCTACTCATAAATACCCTAATTTCGGAAGTTCTTTCTGAAAAAAATCGGTTTCGTAACGACTTGTATTTCGGCTAAGTTTCGTTCTTGACTCAAGAGCTTCTGCACGTTAGGTGAATTAACACGTTATTGGCTTGATTTTTATAACAACTTGGGAGTGGGATTGGAAGAAACAACCCGAATCAGTGCATACTTGTGGTTACAATTTCATTGGATCATTCCAGTGATACAATGTGACTATGAAACGTTCCCAACTGACCCGTGCCACAGCTCATTCACATATAGAGCACCATTGTTCTTTTTGCTTTAGATTTAGGGATAATAGCTCGAGGTTTTCGTCCCAGCCTACTTCCATCCGTGGACGCCGTTCAGATAGTCATCGGGTTAGGACAGCTCGCTACACGTTTGATAGCTCAACCCCGTTTGTTCTGTCAACACAGTTATTGGCTTTGATAATCTATTTGCGCATCAGTGATTAATCTCTGACTTATCCTTTTTACTCCTCTTCTAATGATCTCTACATTGTCCCAGTCTAGGGCGTGCACCTCTATCGCTGAATCCTTCAGTAAGACCTTGTATTCAGCCTTGTTTCTCATTGGGCGCGCAACCTCTTGTGTTGTGCTATCCTTATGTGCCATTCTCTCGCTGTTTGACCCATTTACACGTGTGTGCGGTCTTTGCAACTACTTTTATGGACGCAATTAGTTGTTCTATCTTCGGAACTGAATCCTTCAAATGCACAAGTGCTGAATAAAGTGTTTGATCTTTCTGGCTAATCACCCTTCTGCTTGTTTAGCACCCGTCTGAACTGAACTGGTCACTTCAGAAGTTCACTCTACCGTCATAGTCTACTCCGTCGTACGTTGTGAAGGCGTCCTTAGGGCTTTCTGCAACTGACATTTCACTAACCTTCCCGGATATCCATTGATCAGACCACATAGTTGGACTGCACCTCCAATCGCCAAGAAATATACCATTTATTTATTATCTTTATTTATTTCTTGCCTTCTGGGTGACCCTCCTGTGCACAGTGTCTAAGCCATGTGAAACTGTGGAGATGCTATTGCATCATGAGCCTCCGTGGGTGATGCAGACTACAATGGAATATTCCATCCGTATCTATTGGTCTGCGATATACACCGTTGCTTTTAGCCATTCTCCGCTCCCGTGAGCTGGGCGCTCAAGAATTGGCAGTTATCTTTTGGAATACAATAGTTCCTTCACACGTTGTTTCGTGTTCTAAAACCTTCCAAAATTAGGAATTCCCTGCCGGTTCCAAGTGTATTCCAACACATCAAGGCTCATATGGTCTATGTGTTAGGCTGTTCCGTACTTGCACCGCGCATTAGGTTCGAGTTCAGATTCCACTGGTATCAGAGTGAATGAACTCCTGACCTACTGTCTCTCCTTCGAATTTCGGTGGACTGAGATATTGTCTCAGGGAACTGGCTTATTGCACTAACACTGATGATGAAGACCTGACAATGGAAGTTATCTTTCATGTTCTTCACCTCAGAGTCCGACTTTATATGATGACGAAATAACGAGGCGTTCGCTTACTAGATCCCGGTCATTAGAATTTTGCCTGAATTTTCGACACATTCAGTTTTCCGCTGCCTATCCAAATCGATCGTAGAAACACAACTGTAGCCCGTTGCAACGAGACTGAATCCTAACTTAGTGCGACGGTTTGCGTACCTCGTCGACCCATTAAGCTATACTGGGTGGTTCCCCTGGGGCCCTTGAGAGCTACTTCTGCCATATTGCTCAATGTTTCGAGGTCACAGAAACTCAATCTCCTGGTCCTTTAGAGTGGAGATTGAAAATTGGATGGCATTCATTTCAGTGAAACCAACTCGTTGCCACATCCGCTGCCTTGCGGATAGGCTTTTGAGCCAAAGGTTTTGATTGAGGACTCATTCTCTTGTCTAGGTCTGATCGCCCTGGTCGTATCTGAGTCCACATACAACCATCGGCCGTCACGCAGTTTATCAAAGACCGCCTTATCTGCTGCATACAACAGGGCGAATAGGCGAAAATAGGACACGGCTTCCGCCTCTGTCCTTTCTGTTCTAAATGTATTTTCACTCCCTTCGCAAACCCCATTACTAACCTTCCTTCTATAATTCCCAATTCAATTGACAGCCACGGGAATGTCAATGGAGTCATACCATCTACAACTACCTTTCCGTACCAACCACTGGACACCCATCAGCAACAGCTCCTTAATAAGGTCATGGCGTTCCGTTTCCATGGTTGCGTTCAACTTTCGCACTCTAAGCTAGCTAGGTCAATCGGATACACTTGCACGCACGTTAGACACACTGGGTATGATGTGAGTTGTGTGTCCGAAACTAGGATCAATGACCCTAATGAATTAACTGCATCTGGCTTGTCCTCTCGCTATTGGTTGCACACCTCCGGAGGCACTGATGCATCACTTACGGGTCAGCCTGGGGTAGGTGTCGTTCCCTGCTCGAAAGCGGAGTCATTGTTGTTTGATTGGATTCTGGTGAACAGCCGTTTGTGTGCAGCCCGTTTGACGACATCAGCTTAGGTTAATTCACGGAGTAGCATTAGACGCTGTTTGTGGTTTCCGCGTATGTCCCCACCGATTGCAGTTGTACTGCCAAGGACGCCTTCTGCCACTAACTGTACGCGCTGCTTCGCAGTGTCAACAGTTCAGACATCGTTTTTCGCAGGAGATATGAATGCGCGTAAGTAGTTTGAGCTCTTCAAAAGCTCAGCTAGCCGGTAACTATGAACTTAACTGCTGTCGTACGGACAACGGCGAACGTCTGTTCAACGGTGTACGGTGCCCTTGTTGCATTGTAATAACACCGATTTTAGACACAGCGAGCGCCGAACTGGCACTTGGTATCCCGCTATAGCTGACCAGCGATTGACCCAAATTGATCACATTGCCATAAGTTATGGGCGGCATGGTTCCATCCTGGATTGTCGCTCGTTTTGCAATACTTGCGTCGACCGATCACGCTTTGTTAATATGTCGTTTTTCCTTGAACTTTACATGTGGACGTATCAAGCATATCCCTCGATAAGCAACCGAGAAGTTATCCCACTGCTCTATCAGGTAGAGCTACCAGAATATCCTAATGACTCTGTAGTTCATTTGAATAGGATCTCGGCCGCCATCCACGATACGGGACCCTATGCTTCGGCACGATCAATCTTAACCGCACTAGTCATTGGATATCTTGACAGACTATGTACACAGTGTAACTAGTCGGACTATTAGACGCTAACTAGAGCGGAGCCTGCCTGCTGACAACGAAGTCTTGTGTATTAGTAGGTCACAAAGTGTGAACCGTAGGCAAATGTCGCACCACTGATCCCAGAAATGTGAGTGTCAGTGAAATAGAGACAGCGCGGATGCCCTGATTTATAATAAGAAGCGTGGTATGATGGCCACGTGGCAGCAAAGCGTCGGTATGGTGTGCGGACGTACTGCTGATGCTTAACTTCTTTTTACACACACATACAGCGCGATCAGACTGATTTTAGTAGTAACCAACGACAATTAAACCACTAGTTTACTCTCAGACACATCACCTTGTGTACCTTAGACGAAACATTTGTAGCACTTTAATTGACCTGTTGTTGATTCACCACCGCTTGCTGTCTTTTCTAAGACCCACCTGAAATCTTAACCTCATCATTAACAGCAATACATCAGCCATTTGAGCTGATACCTCGCTTCCGTACAACTACCGTGACCTGCGAAACGAAGAACAATATGAGGGAGAGTAGGGAGGACTTACCTGCAAATCTTAATGTCCTAAGCAAACATTCAGGGTCAAAGCGCCTACACTTTATGTTTCCAACAAATCGCCACAAACAGCTGGCTGTCGTGCAAAGGTAAAGCGGCATCGGCGAGACAGCTTCATTGCAGCTTTCACTGCCTCGCGTCATAATCGGCCACTACTCCGCAGACAACTCAGCACCAAACACACTTAAACAGGCGGTCCGACAAGGAGGCGGCAGCAGTCGCGCCACTGGTGTCGACTGTGAGCCATATCCTGTTAAGCCTTGTGCTAGGCACAAGACGAGTCACGTGGACTATAACTTAGAAGGCGAGCCGGAACCACAACACCAAGTTTGGTCATCAGTGACTTCGTTTCTCGCTGCTAAGTTAATTTTGCCACTCCATATCTGACAAACGAAACAAGGTCCTTTGTGGTAAGCGAAGACTAGTCTTGGGCACGTACTGTGCTCCCAGTTGTTCTGAGCTACTACCCTGGTTATCACTGCCTAGTACTCACGCACATCATTGTTGCAGACACGCTGGTGCCATACGACACCAGCATTGCTTCGCAGATAACGATGATCAAGGATTTGAAGGTGCTGCACGTCCTCAGATCGAACCGACGAAGTCTCACTTCCATAGAGTAGGAAGGCCCTCGCTGTGGCCTTGTAAACACAACCTTTTAGACGGAAGGGAACCCCTTTCTGACGCCAAAGATGTCACAGATTCACAGAGGCATTTCTCACTTTTGCAGTACGTAAACTGACCTCAATTGCCATGCGCCCATCTTTGCTGATACAGCTGCCAAGGTAAATGAATCGATTAACTACCTCAAGTTTTTCGCCGTCAATCCGTCATCAAGCGGCTGGTGGTCCTGAAGCAACACTTATATTTTGAATGTGCGAAGCGTATACCAAATAATGCGACTACTCTAGAGAGGTTGTTCAGTGTTGATTGCGCCGCATACTCAACTTCAACTAGCCTTTCACCAGACTGCATCTGTACGCCTGCATCGTGAGGCTCCGCAAGAAAACTATCCATGATCGGGTTCACGCCCAACTTGACAACGCTGACTGACGCCATTTGTTGTCGGTAAGGCATTTGACGAGTCACCGTAGACCCTGACGCTGCCTATCCTGTTCGAGTACAGGGTACGTAAAATGTTCACATATTTCATGCGTCCAGATTATGCACACTTCTTATCCTGGCTCTCATCGTAGCTGATGGGCTGGAGACCTTATTGGTCATCTTGTCTGGTTAGTAACAAGAATGATGTCAAGCAGCCGTCGCTCTACCACCAGCACGTTCTCGGTTGACAGGAAATCTTTACATACAGTGTGTGGTTGCGACGCGCTTAAAGATCATCTGCTCGCAGGGTTCGTTCACCGACCCTAAGAAGACCCCAAGCAAGATTGGGCAACTATCACAATCTGTTATTTTTTGAAAACCGATCAACCGATTACAATATTTGGAATTGAGCTCATTTTTCATCGGCCACTGTCCTAAAGTCCTCCTCCGTTCACTTTCGTTTATTTACCTTTAATCACCGTCTATCGAATTCGTGCCGTTTTTGCAACTTTCCATCCTGTTCGCACCAGGCCGGATTAGTTGTGAGCTTTCCATGTGGCCCTGGCAATTGTTACTAACCCACTGCCTAATTGGCGAACGTGTTGATGACACTTACTTGGATGTAAGTTGCTTTCGAAGCTTAACTCATGTCTGGTGGGAGCACCGCGTGAGCAATGTATGTGTACGGCGCCGCGTATATGGTGCCGGAGCAGCGAGTGAACCGTTCAACACCATTATATCACGCACCATTCCCTCTCCTATTGCAATCCCATGCGAAATGCGTATTATAATATTTGACATTATATTACTTGCTTTTTGACTTTTTGTAGTGAACATTTGGAATATTGGTAGCTCGGGAGGCCTGCTCAGTTGTTGTGGAGTTCTCCGAGCTGGGCAACTTGGTTGCAAACGTTTCACCACCATTCGAGGTAGCATCTTCAGTGCGGGATTGATAGCAGTAAAGTAGCAGTAGCTGGTAGAAAGCAAACCCAATAATGGATGCTGTCAGCAGCCATTATTGGGTTTGCTTTCTACCAGCTACTGCTACTTTACTGCTATCAATCCCGCACTGAAGATGCCACCTCGAATGGTGGTGAAACGTTTGCAACCAAGTTGCCCAGCTCGGAGAACTCCACAACAACTGTGTAGTGAACATTTTCAGTATCCTATGTTTTTGTATTGATGAGGTGTCTTTCTCACCCTTAGCCAATGTACTGATGAATGAATGAAGCGTGCTGATGTACGCCTCTCCTTAACCTTCGTCACGCTCTGTTTCTGCGGCTCGTTCTGTGCTACATTACTATCCGTAATCACAGAATGTGTACAGTGCATGGCTAGTCCGACCTCATTTAAGTTGCCCGTTTATGCCATGCTACTTAGTCTTGACGCACCACAAATGTTCGTTACCTTCGCATCCGGTCCGCTTTCCTGGTCTATTAGCGCACTGCCCATGAATTGCAAGTGCGCCTTGCGACCTCCGCAGCACCGATGGATTGAATATGTACGCAAATGTGGTGTAGTTTCTCATGTGACAGGATTCGTTCTCTGGAGATCCGTGGTGATTGGTCCAGTCAAGATCCGTACTTCCTAAATTTATGTCTGTGTTCTTGTATAGGTTTGAGCACCTGGTAGTGTATTGCACTCTGCACACAACCGCCTTCGGCTACATGGCAGCGAAACATCCATAAAAAGCACTGTATCAGTGGCTTCGCCTTGTCTTCACCTCTACTGTTTGTCATAGAGCTATCCTTTTCCATTGTCTGAACTGTTCCATATTGCCGATCCTCCACCGCAACGAATCATGAGTTACTTCACTGAATTACAACGGCTTACTTTATTTTGACTGAACAACTCATCACATCGTTTGTCTGCCGATCACAATCTGCCGTTCAATCTGCCGTAGTCTAAACAAACACAAGCCTGTCTTGGGCGCGGGTTCTAGCCTGCTTAGGGACCGGGCGACCCTCGTGGTATCTTTAACCCACGCGCGACTGCTGGTGGTTGCGCAGCATGTATGCGTCGATACTACATACCGGCGTACTGCTGATAGAAAAGGAAAAAATGTCATCAGCAGTACGTCGGCACACTGCACTGACGCTTCGCTGCCACGCGACCACTACCGGTCTTGCGTGGGCTGACCATACCGCAAGGACGCCCGCTCCTACGCTGATTCGAACCGGTAACCTAAGCAATGCAAACCAGGCATGCATTGCTTTCGGCCACCGGCCTACCGTACTGCTGATACCTTAGTGAATGTTCACATACGAGTCACCACGACTCTCATCTACCGTCCTCTGATGTACTTTTCTATGCTCGTTTCTTCCACCTGCCCCTTCTAGTTCCGAGGTGTTTTACCTCGCGTTCTACCTCTCCCTCTTTGGATTCTTCCTTATGTCATTCCGCTCTCAAGCAGGTGGCATGGTTCGCAAGGTGAGCGCTATTGGTTTCACCTATGTCTTGCTTGTCTCACATTTTGCGCGTTCCTGTACCATTGACCAACCGATTGTAACAATCCACTCCATCGTCTGTAGTGCACCGTTTTCCCCCGCTCCCATTGTTGATTGTGCTGATCACCTTAATTATTCTACTAACCCGCGCTTTTGGAAACGTCAGCTATCTTTATGCGTATTACTGGATGCGAGGAACGAATACGGGATCCCTGAAATCCACCTCCTAGTTATATCTTTTCATCACTTGTGGAACCAATTTTCTATTCCAGTCAGCTTCGATCCGGAGCTGCGCTGATTACGTCTAGTTTTCTCATTACATTCCCGCAAACCGGACCCGAATGACACCCAAACTATCTGGAATTTCATGTTCGCAGTTCAAACCACTTATATAGATCGTAATTATCAAGCTTATTTTGAACCCCCGAAATTCTATCGGCGCCAGTATGTGGTGTTGGTCAGAATTGTCTGCTGCACTGAAACAATCAAACTAAAGATAGGAAGTCTTCATCTGAGAAGCTTGAAACAAGAAATTCCTTCTATAATTCCAAACAAGAAAATCGGCAGACGTATTTTTTACAACTACATCGCCATTGTTTGCATACTTGCCCATCACAAACATGCAGAGTACTGGATAAACTAACGCAATGTCATATGATAACGTATATAACCAGGCGTTTGCGCTACCAAAGTAGGCTTATAGCCATAGTTAGCTGTTTTTCGTTGTGCAGCGGTACTCTTTTGCGATCAATAACTAACGGCCCCCAATGGTCGCTGCTCGCGCACCAGGACTGTGAACTGGTCATCTGGATTGACTCGAGGGTCTGCGTTTAAATAAGTTCTTTGTAACCGCCGCGACAGCTCGATTCCCCGTTTCGGCCTATTCCGTCATCACCGATTCCATCCGGCTGTGTAATCATTGTTTCTGATCGCTAAAATTCGGTCAATGGCTCAACGTAGCTGTCTGCACAATTACAGGTGAATCCGTATGCACAATGGGACATTATTTGTCTCGTCCTCAGTGTCTTGATGTGAGTAGCCCCAATTTTACCGCAATGCGCGCTCCTTATAGTGAAGTATCTTGTTCGTTTCTTGTTGATCTTCATAACTTGATCATCTTTGCAAATTAGCGTAATGAAATTGGGTTTTTTTTCGACTGTTGGCACATGATCTCCCTCTTGGTTGTTTCACTGAGGCGCTTAACAAACTGCGAAGGGAAACCGTTCAATTGTAGCATATCGAACAGCAGATCCTCTCTCTCTCTCTGCTTCCACGGTGTCTGCATGGGCCCAATCAAGTGTCCGAAAGTGCGTTTGTGTTGAGTAGGAGAGGAACTCGTAAAGTACAAACACTGACCAGTCCACGTTGGCTTTCTGTAGGCAGACCTGATGGAACCATCTGGCCGCCGTGTAATCAGTACATCTAGTTACGGAAGGCTTAGTCATTGCCACGCGTCACTCCCAAGTTCGGGTGCAGTTTGCTGTGTGTCTCGATATTGAGCATTCCACTGCAAATGGAGCAACGATCGTAATGTGCGGCTTCGACGGGTGGCCGAATGTTTCACTCGCCGGTTTGTAATCCATTTTTTCACTGGTACTATTCTGCGTGGCTACGACGACATCCCGGCGTCCCTAACTCGCGAAGCCATCGTTGCTAGAGCACAAGCACCTTTTTCTCTCGTCTCTCACTCACCAAACGCTCTTGTTGTCATTGCTTCTTCGCCCTCAATGTTTCTGAAATCCCTCACGATTCCCATAAAACCATGCGTTCGCCATGTAGGTTGATACTTGCATCCAGGTTTGTCCTGTCATTTTTGACCTCTGCTTTTCACCACCACTCCCAGTCTGGTATGGGCTCAAGTTTGTTCAGTTTTGGGCAGTCTCCCGTCCGGCTAATCGAGCGAGACAAGATCGATGTCCGGTTCGCTGATGTGGCCGGCTGTGAGGAGGCGAAGATGGAGATAATCGAATTTGTGAACTTCCTACGAAACCCTGCTCGTTACGAAGCATTGGGTGCGAAGATTCCCCGTGGAGCTGTTCTCAAGGTAGGCATGCTTATCCATTCGGCACCTTCGGATCTATTGCTGCACCCTATTGCTAATGTTTTTCGAGTTCGGGAGTCTTTCTGTTTTTGTCTACTCATCTTTTTCTCGCGTTTTTCGCGTTGTTATCCCGCCATACTGCGTTTGCACCTTGTGTGCCACATCTTACTGGTCTAATTCAGAGTACCAACGGCAACTCTTCCCATCTTCGCTTTGAAAATTGTGCCAATTGTGTATTTCTCAACCTAATGAATCACGTAGCAGTTACGCAATAGAAGCATTTCTTCCCGTTTCTTAGCTAGCTGACATGCACCCGCTTCAATGCAATATCTCGTGACACTTGCGATTGGGTCCATTGAATCTCTAGCACAACTGGATGAGAATTCACACCCTTCTCTTTAAAGATCCGTGAGTAAATCATTGTAGACACCGCTACTACGCATCTCACTGGGTGTAAGTAGTTGTTACTGGCGGGTTAAAACGCTTCACTCTCCCAGATCTCTGTTCTACACCCATCACTGAACACACCAGCCAGATGTTTTGTCGCTTCTGACAGGGTCATCGTGTGATTTTGCGTACCTTTGTGGTTGACATGAGGTTCTTCTACGTACACATTGAACATCCTCCTTACTCATATGTTGCGGGGTCCGCTTTGGCACGGGCATGTTTAATCGAACTAAACAACGCGACTACATCCGTAGTGGAATGTTTTCTTATATCAGTGTAGCGCGCACATCACTGTCGGAGGTTGTCTTCCGTGTGATTGCATTTGGTAACTAGCTGATTCCAACGTTATCGAATTGAGTTTGCTGCGTTGAGTGGTGTGCCACGTTTTCCCTACTCACATTATACTTCAATCTACCGTTATTGAGCTTTGATAGACCATCGGGATGGCAAATTTTATGTCGTTTATCAAGACGAAACAACAACCGAGCAGAAAGTTAGTAACGGCACTCTCATTGGTGGCTTGAACGAACTCTTACTTAAACGTGTGTAACCTGCTGCACACGTGATGGGATGCCCCCATTACCTACAGTCAGGCACGTGTTCCGGCCGCTAGAACGAGGGCTTCCTTTTTCTTCACTAAACGCAGCAAACCCCTAGCGATCCTATTTTGTGTCATCTGGTGGCTGTTTATCTCCTCATGAATCAATGCTTTTTTCTGTACCAATTCTCGACCTTATCGGTGATGAAATTCCGTGGCAATCACTCATCCCTTTAATGTGATCCCTTCCATTCTTCACCATCATCGTCATGAGCAGCGGTAGCGGGAATAGAGACGGACTAGACAACCATGGATCAGCACTCTGTGCGTCGCAGAACTCGATTATTCGAAGACGCAAACGGTTTATTTGGTGAGAACCAACCTGTAACAAGATGCATAACCCTTATGTGTTGGCTGGCAAGTACCATTCGCATCGATGCAGTTCCACCAATGGTGCTCTCACTGCTCCAATCAAGCAATAATCGGTAGATCATCGGTTTTCGATGTTGCCAATAGCCAGGGTCATTCAATTCGCATCTGCTTGGCTGCTCCTAAAGTCCTGTTGTTCTTCTTTCTCCAATATATGCAATGTTCCCAACAGTTGCAGCTAGACACAGGCAGACAGCCAACATATCCAGGGAAGCGCTAGACGGCCGTTTCGTCCTATTGGGACTCGTCAGTAGCGCGCACCCGCCAAATCCTGCCGGATTCGAACCCCCGACCTTACTCTTGAGAGTCAGCGAGTTATCTCACTAGGCCATGGGCGAAGGCAGCGGACCGCCATGACTAATATCTAGCTGCGATATAGCGTGGCTCATTCTCCAATGACTTGCTTTGCAAGCCAACCCTGTCCTCTGCACATTCATAATATACAAGAGAGTGGAGGATGAGCCGCGCTATATCGCAGTTAGATATTAGTCATGGCGGTCCGCTGCCGTCGCCCATGGCTCAGTGAGATAACTCGCTGACTCTCAAGAGTAAGGTCGGGGTTTCGAATCCGGCAGGATTTGGCGGGTGCGCGCTACTGACGAGTCCCAATAGGACGAGACGGCCCTCTAGCGCTTTCCTTGATGTGTGGTGGCTGTCTACCTATGTCTGACTGCGACGAATCTATGCAAAAACACTATGTACTAGGGTTTCGCTGTCATGCAATCAAAAACTGCGAGATGATTCTCATAATGGTTAAAGCAGATGAATGTTGGGTAGTACCTGCCCGAAAACACTTCGCTTCACGACTCGTTTCAACCTTGTCTGATCTCATCCGGTAGCGATAGCTAGCCTCGATGCCAGGGCCATTGGAATTTTAGTCGTGACCGCTACCCCAGCCACCTGGTCACGATGTGCAGCGCTTGCCACAACGCTTGATGACTGACTGGTGAGTCATTCTGAGGTACACACGTTGTGTGGTTGGGTTGCGACACGCAGTCTCATTGTGGACAGCGATTCCCATTGATGTGAACTTTGTCTATTTAGATCACTGGGGCCGTAGCTGATGTGGTGGGGTCCGCTCGAAAACAAGCAGCACTCCCCGGCGCGTTTCAACTTTATTTCGTCTAATCTGGTTGAGATGACAGACATGGAACCCGGAACCGTTAGGATGTCGGCCGAAACTACCCCTTTAGCTACCAAGTCACAACGGTTATTGACTGTTTGGAGGGCCATTTTGAAACGCTCGTTGTGTGACTGGATTGCGACGCGCAATCTCATTGTGAACCTTGGTCGCATCAATCACTGCGACCATAACTGATGAAGCAACTTCACACTCTGGATGTTCACCGCCAGAATGGGCAATAAGACTGGGCTAGGGAATCCGACGTGTCGTTTTGATGTACCAACCAGGTGTCTACACTGCCAACATCACACGCTCATTGTGAGCTGACCATCATGTGAACTGTGACATCGGTGAGATATTTTCCTTGCGGCGGTCTTCATTGCTCAGTGTCATTATCAGCCTAACTTAGCAGGCACCTCAACCCCATTTACGTTTTAACTGGTAGACTGTTTATAAGGATTCGGCAAATGCATTATAATTGCAAAAGACACTATACGTAACCTGACGACCTTATCACTGTGTCCCTTGGACCCAAGTGTAGTTGTTTGCTTACTCTGGTGTTATCTCGAATTCGCACAACCAGCATCTTACATGATGTACATTGACCGATATGATATGCCGTAGGTTCGCATGTGACTGATCCCTCGGCCTACCGCAGGCAGAATCCGGTGTCATTCTGCAACTCTTACCGTGCACTTTCACTTACGTCACTTTCCCTAAGCGCAATTTACCTGTACTGCACCGTCTCTCGAAGTGGAATCCTTTAATCTTGCTACTGTGTACTATCCAGCTACGCCTTGCCATCGACTTAGCTCTGCGGCCGAGCATCGATTCGCTCGATGGTTGGTTTACGGCCTAGTCATCATCATCATCAACAGCAGTACATCAGCCATTTGATGCCTCGCTGCCATACAACCATGCGGACCTATGAAATAAAGAATGAGAAGAGGGAGAGAAGGGGGACTTATCTGAAAACCTAATTGCCCTAAGTAAACATTCAGGGTCAAGGCGCCTACACCTTGTGTAGCCAACATACCGTCACAAACAGCTGGCTATCGTGCAAAGATAAGGCGGCATCGGCGAGACAGCTTCGTTGCGGCTTTCACTGCCACGCGTCATAATCAGCCATTACCCCGCAGCTAACTCAGCACCAGACACACTTTAAACAGGCAATCGGATTAAAAGACGGCAGCAGACGCGCTACTGGTGTCGGTTGCGAGCCATGTCCTGTAAAGTCTCGAGTCAACCACAAGGCGAGTCACGTGGACTTCAGCCCGGAAGGCGAGACGGACCAACAGCACCCAGTTTGGTCGTCAGTGACTTCATTTCCCGCTGCCAAGTCAACTTCTGTCCACCTCGAGCCTTGCGCCATCCTACGCCTGGTAGACTGAACAAGGCCCTCCTGGGTAAGGGGTGACCAGGCATACGTAGCACCTGCCTGAGCCAACGCAACTTATTCAGTGCTATCTGTTGTTCTATGGTGCTAACATGATTATCTCCACCTAGTACTCGCCTACGCACATCATCGTTGCGGACACACTGGTGCCATCCGACACTAGCAATGCTTCGCAAACAACGATGATCAAAGACGTGAAGGCGCCTCAGATCTTCAGACCGAAGGGGCCAATTCTCACTACCATAGAGCAGAACGGCCCTCACTGTGGCCTTGTATACCCGGCCTTTCAGACGGAGGGAAACTCCGTTCTGTCGCCAAAGATGCCGCAGGTTCAAGAAGGTAGCTCTGGATTTTGCAATGCGTGGGCTCACGTCAGTTTCTGTGCGCCCATCATTGTTGATGCAGCTGCCAAGATAAGTGAAATGATCAACCACCTCGAGTTCCTCGTTAGCAAGCGTCAAGGGGTCATCGAGTGGCTGGTGGTCCTGCAGCAACACTTTGCACTTTGAAGGTGCGAAGTGCATACCAAATAATGGGACCACTCTGGACAGGCTATTCAGAGTTGATTGTGCCGCGCCAACATTGTCGAAAAGCAACACGATATGGTCCGCATAATCATTATCCACTAACCATTCACCAGGCAGCACTTCAACGCCTACATCGTGAGATTCAGCAAGGGAACACTCTATGATAGAATCCACGACGAAATTGAACAGAAAGGGGGAAATCGGACAACCCTGACGAACGCCACTTGTGGTCGGAAAGCTATCCGAAAGGACACCGTAGACCCTTACGCGACCTGTAGTGTTCGACTATAGCGCGCGAAGGATGTTCACATATTTCGTGGGAACACCATTCCACTAAAGTATTTCGAACAGAATCGATCAATCGACTGAATCGAACGCACTCTTGAAATCGATAGTCATGAATACACAGACACCACTCGGCTCTGTGTATGTGGCCAATACACAAATCCCATACACTTGTCATCCTCCTCCGTACCCAGTTGTCGATGGTTTTTTGCCTAGGCTCCTTTCAACTGGCACCATGGCCCCTCTTAAGACGGCGTT